AACCAGATGTAGGGAAAAAATGAGAGACCCATAAATACAGTCATTCTAATGCCTGTTTGATTTCCCACATTCATAAGTGCTTTACCGATGAAAATTGCATTGTGTTCATGAAGCAAAGATCTGTGCTCATACTCATTTCTGCCCCACTCCTTGCTACCTTTGAACATAAATGTCTGTCACTTTCGCTTCTCTGCGATCTTTGCGGAGGGCTTGTCCTTTCCTTTCACACTGCTTCTTTTCCCATTTTCTCCTTCTTATTGATCTTCTTTTAGTTTCTTCTCGGCATTGGTGCACATTGCTTGTGCTCAGCTGCTTGGTTGGGGGCGCCTTGCAACAGTGTTTCAGCCCACGCTTGGAGTGCCCCCCTAACATCGTTCACCTGATTATCCATCCCTCCTCTCACCATCATTTGCTTCACCTAAAGAACAGCAAGCTGAATAGAAAGATGCGCTCCAGCTGCTAGTGAGCAATCTGTGTTTGGGGTACAACCAAAGTTTATCCGAGGTGTAAATGGCTGAAGCACACACAGTGTGGTCTTCACCGCGTTTTTGCTCTGTGAAACCAACCCAGAGCACTTCACCAAGCACTGAAAGGACACAGCAAACACCAGGTGTGCCCACACTCTAAGGCCACTCTGCGCCCTATGAACACATCTGCCAGCTCATACCCTTGCTTTGTCAGCGTGCCATTCTTTCCTGCTTCTTCCTCAAAATATCCTCTCTGCAGGGAGAGCAGCTCATCCACAGTCTCCCCTGCTCGCAGCTGCCTGCTGAGGACAGGAGGTGTCTGTGAGCTGCTAGGAAGGGGATGGCACGGGGACCCCAGCATCCCTGGCCCTTTTACAGCCTGAATAATTGTTCCTTCATGGCACAGCAGAGAAACGCTGGTTTGTGTTTCAGCAAAGCATAGCTCTGCTGTTTTGGTCTGAAAGAAGAAATGTTTTCAGTCTCTACACAGTCAGGCTCTTTGCATTTCAGACAAACGGACTCGTGAAGATTACTGAATTCTTCTCTCAAACTGTTGCAAAGCCCCAAGAAGGCTCCTCCTGCCCAGAGGAGGCCCTCTCAGCCCCCACTGGTCTGTGTCTCTGTGGTATCTCATGCTTCTAAGACTCAGTCACCTTCTACATCCTACCTCCTGCCTTTGCCAGGAGCAAATGCTGGTGCAGGAAGCTCAGAGACCACCACCATCTCCTGCAGGGACAGGGACTGACTGCCCCGGTGGCTGTCCATAATCAGCAATGAGCTGTGCTTCAAAACTATTGCTGTCAGGTTTCTATGATTTTAGCCCGTGGCTTCTGCAGCACACTGGTAGCTCTTGGCAGCCTGAGGCAAGCCTCAGCATTGCTGCAGCACACAAATATTATCTTCTGGAAAAGAGCCATTCTTCTGGCCTCTGTCCCAATGCACTTGTTTTGTAATATGTGTCATGACTAAGCAGCAGAAATTAGCAAAACAGTGGGAACAAAAACCAAAAGTTTTGAGCCAAATGAAAAGCACTTCTGGTATTCGGTTTGTGAATTTGCACTCTCAAATAAAATCAGCAGTGGAGAGGGCAGAATAAAACCAAAGTGTGGGAGCTTGTAATGCAGACTCCACCAACACAGCCATCCGTTCCGAGCTCTGCGTGGTTTTTTAAGTGCACAGCTTCTAAATTACAAACCCAAGAACAAAAGCTAACAAAAAGATGTATTTTGACACTGATGTTTAAAGTGAGTCATGTAAAGTTATCCATATTTTCTGCATTAAGCACATTGATAAGCTGAGTTTTCTTCGAGACTAACTCAATAGATGACGATGCCATCACATCCAAAAGATTGAACAAGCATTTCTGTTCGCACGTGGCAGAGTGGGAGGTTTGTGCAAAGATGGACAAAGAAATATGCAGAAATATGAACAGATGCGAATGAAAACAAGGTGATTTGTTTGATAACGGTCACTCAGAAACATAACAGTGCTGAATGGGCATTTTTTTCACATTAACAGAAGGGTGATAAGAATATGTTATTATATTCTTGTCATCTTAGTAGTAGCTTAAATTCTATTTGTATGTTTCATATCTATGTGAAAACTTTACCTGAAGTGCATATAGCTACAATTACAGCTCCATATTCAACTGTCCCATGGGCAGTGACTATCATAAATATCATTCAGAAACATATCTGCCCTTTTGTCAGCAAGAGAGAAGGCAAGGATGATGAAAAACTCTGAGATCCAGCTCAACTTGCACAGAGCCACCATGGTGCAATACGGGCTGTAAAGCTCCTCCGCCCAGGGGCTTCAGTTGACGTCAGCCTTCAGGTCTGTGTGTCCATCAGGGCTTGGGGAGAGGAAACAGATTTGCACCTCCCTACTAATAGAAGTGTTTTCCAGCTGTGATTATGTATTTCACTGGACTTCAAACCTATAATCCACAGCTTTGTAGTGGCACTTGTAACGTAATTGCAAGCTGGTACATCTGATTGCAAAGATCACTGATAATTTTGCTGTTCTACTGATTTCTTTCTAGCATGATCATTAATTAATAAACTTCTTAATCAGTTTGCATCAAGCTTGCATCAGTTTGCATCTTGAGTCTCCAGCCTGCTGGGAAAGTGTCAAAGCTTGGCAGTAACTGCGTTAACAGCAGACTGAACCCAACATTTTCTTCAGGCTGCCAGTGTCCAATTGCCTGCCAAAACACAGTATGAAGTTAATCACTCATTACTTATTGCCCAGGTCCTTGACAATCTGCACAGCTGCCCTTGACTAGTAAAGAAATCTGAAGGCCAGAGCGTCCTTCCTCCAGAATCCAGGTTATCAGAAATTATTTCCAAATACTGCTGTCACAGCAGACCTCAGTGCAATGTGGGATTAACCTCTGGCAAATAGGCAGCTGGAAAACAGACACAAGTCTCAGGACAAACTGTCCCATACATCCTCCTACAAATGAATGAGGAAGGCTCATCACACTACTGGCACTACTGAACATTTGGCAGAAACAAATGAATTGCTGTTTATACAGTCAGCAGTACCAAATTTCAGTATTCCCTGACCTGTAATTTCTTATTTTTCTGCTTCTACTAAAAATCAAGTTTGGCAAACATTAATCATGTTTAATTGAAGTTGGAAAAGACTACTCTTAGTACAGTGAGACAATTTTCTAAATGGAAGAGAAACTGGCACTGAATTCCAAATTTCATAAGGGAGCTTTTGGCTGCTGAATGGTCTCAAACATTTTGGCTTATTATTGGATACATGAGATCAAGCTTCGGACATTTGCCTTTAACATAGCAAGGCATCAAGCTTTACTTTGAAACTGAGTCAAAAACCTTTCATGACTTTATCTCGTTGTCTATAGCTCACATTTATCTACCCTTGCTTACATGTTTACATTCCTCTCTCATAAACATCTTCCTTCTTTTTCTGCAGGTAGCTGTTTCTACACAAAGTACAATTACCCCACATGTTTCAATTCAGGGGCATGCTGCCATTAATTGTAACATGTGTTAGACCCAAAGGAGTCTGAGGTGCTTCTGATACCTCCTCCTCCTTTCGTTCATATATTTGAGTTCCAGCAGTTCCATTGGTGAACCCAGGGCCACCTTCAAGATTTCACATGTCCATGCTCCCGAAGCAGTTCGTTTAGCTCCATGTTTACCAGCAATGTTGGAGACACTCAAAACTGGCGTGTTATGAACAGCTTTGATGGAAGTTTTTCTGGTTTGAGCAGAGGGCTGAAACCACCAGCCTGCAGTGGCTGCCCACATCAGTCATTCCAGTTGACAGTTGCCTTTCTGCAGGACCATAGCACCACACGACAATTTGGAGAAACAGGGACATCCTGAAGCCTCCAATCCAGCCCATTCATGTCCCCAGCAGGTTCAAATGTGGGTCACGGCTTTACCCTATGAAAGCTGGAAACCCTACAAGGAGGGAGATGACATCACCTCCCGTGGGCCCTACTCTCCAGATGGGGAAAGCTTTCCCTTCACTGCAGCCTCTATCCCTGCTCAGCTCATGCACGAGGCTCAGGGCCTTGCTCCCAGAGCTGCCACAGCCCTATTGGTGCTGCTGCTGGGGCTCTGCCTGCTCAGGACTGCACAATGCTCCTGTCCAGTGGCAGTGGGGATCCCTGTGCTTTCCTCTCACTAGCCCAGGTCACTCTGGTCTCCTCTAGTTGGTAGTCTCCTCAAAATTGACAAGGTGCAGTAGATCATCTCTGGGCAAAGTATAGGGATGTTGAAAAGCATAGGCCCCTGGTGTTCCACAGGATCAGACAGCTGCTCTAGGACACATAGCACGATATCCCCAGACAACTGAGCAAAACTGAGCGACCTACAACTCACCCAGAAAAAACTGTCGCTTTTCCAGCTGTCAGAGGCCTTCCTTCACCTCTTCTATAAAGTATGTGAACACTGGAAGGTGGGAAGTTGTTGCTGAATTTCCTTACAAAAAAAAAAAAAAAGGTAGACATTTCTCTTTTCAATGACCCTTCATAAGTCTGCAAGCAACAGGAATTAGGATCAGAGAAGAATGCGACAGTAAAAATTCTCTAAAGGTCTATTTCCCTGGAAATCCAACTGGAAACAAAACGTTGCTGTAGGGTGTAAGGAATCAGAACACACTGACAGAAGACATTCACTGATTTAGTCACTGATACAAGTGAACTAAAAACACATATAAGTATTAAAGTATGGGATTAAAACTTTTCAATAGTTGAGGCTGAAATCTTACTTATGGACAACAGAGGCCCACGGAGTCACTCTAGTGGAAATCAATGACTCCTTAACAGAAACAGAGAAACTAAATTTGGAGACTTTTAGAAACTTGTCATTTTAAAAGTAGTACAGTCAGACACCAAGTTAGCAACATATGACTGGCTGTCAGTGAGAACCTGTATCTCACCATCTCAGGTATTTTTATTTTAACAAGAAAAAGGTTCCTTCTTTATTTAATGATAAATAATTATGATCCCATCAGATACATTCTATTTAAAAAAAAAAAAGCATACAGCAGAAATTAAAATAAAAAAATTGGCATAAATTTTATTAGAATAGTATTTTTCCTGAGCAAGATTTACAACACAGCATGCAGTATTTAATAACTTACTTCACTATACATTCTGCACTAGTGACAGTTGTGCAATAAAAGTAGCAACCGACAGATTTCCAGCTTTTAGTCATTTCAAAGTGGCAGCATATTCCATAATCAGAGTTCTACTGTTAGTAGTTAGTAGTGTGAAGTTCCCAATGCCTGTGAAGCTGAAGTGATTAAATTCAGCAGCAGACTTGAAGCTATTTAGTCTTCAAACAGAACTTCTGTATTAGAATTTCGAGATGAGTTCATGACATTATTTTTCACAGGCTTAGGCAACACAATCAGCAATCACAATCACAAAAACTTATCAATCAGCCTCTTTTATAATGGATAAACTGGCTGAAAACACAAAGGGAAATTACATTGTTAGTAAGGCAAACAGAATGTCAGTACAAATAACTGAAATCATCACATTTCTGATAAGTTCTTTGGGTGAAATGCTGAGCTCGTATTGCAGGAGTCCAACATATGTGTACAGCACAAAAAGGGCCACGTGCTGTAACCAAGGTAACATAGCACAACTGATTTTTATTCACAGAAAATGGAGCCCGGCTGTGGCTGAATTCTTTTCAAAGCTTTAAGTATTTAGTTGTAAATTCTTCTTTTTCAGGAAACAGAAAGGAACTCTGGGCATACACAAACAAACAAACAAAGAAACAGCTTTTCTTTCAAGAAATGAATGCTGGATATTTCGGGAAAAAATGTAAGTCTGAGTTACCAACTAACTCGTTGCATGAAAGAGACGCTGGACAGCTATCCTGAAAACAGAAACACACTTCTGTTACAGGGAAGGAATGTTACAAACAATCGTAAGCAATAAGGCAACAGCACCTTCTCAAATCATACGTGTAGCTCCTTTGCAGTGAAGACAGAGCTATGCGGTTACACTAAAACACGAAACAAATACATTTCTGCTTTGTCCAAAAACAAATATACCACCACACAGCACAGATTAATCTCTGTTCTCCATATTACACACCAAACTTGCCCAAACTGTAAAAGAATAGGTCTGGTTAATCTGACACTGCAACCTTCACGGTTATTGGAGTTCTATACTTCTTTATTTTCAAGCAAAGCAAAGTTGAATATTTGCTGGCTGAACTAGTAAGATTGGCAAGATTATTGGCCTGAATTCACTTAGTAAAATGCTAATCATGCAAGCTCAAAGCTGTGCTGATCTCTTTATCGGGATTAATAAATATATTAATCGCAGTGTAAAAAGAATTAGCTTTATCTTCCAGAGCGGCTATCACCCTGTTGTTCTTGGGGAAATTAGGGAAAAGCCTAATGCTTTAATCTGAACCTCATTCTAACTGCCAATAGACAAAGCAGCCGCAGCAGTTTAGACACAAAGACTGATAACCGCTGTTGAATGACACAAAGTTTTCTGCTTTGTGCTTTGAACGAGCTCGATTATGCTGGATCACTGAACACTCAACAACCGCAGGATGGCTCAACAGCCTGCGACAGAATATTCTAGTTGGCATTTACATGCAGAAAGCTGCTTAAATAATGACACAATTCCAACGTGCAGGGTGCTACCATTTATGCTGCTAATAGCCAACGCATTGCTCGCAGGAACAGCACTGCCGAGTACATGTAAAACAAACAAACAAACAACAAACCAAAACAACTAAAAGCAGAAAACCAAGCTCCTGGCCTTTAAAAGTCCTAATGAAGGAGTAAGTCGTGTTTTAAATGAAGATAAAGGAAGGCATATTTCAGAATTGTATCATATACAAAAGAATGCTTTAAAAAACTTTTTAAATCTCCTGAACCTCCCAGATTAGAGAGGACGCATCCGTTGGTTTTTTTTTTTTTTTTTTTTTTTTTTTTTTTTTTTTTTTTTGTGGAAACACTAAAAATTCTGGCTCTGTACTGAGCAGGGGAAAACTGACACACCTGAAAGAAATTCGTGGGGAAAGAAAACAACAACGCCTTCCTTTATCCAAAACACATTCAAATTTACCTAGTGAGCCCATACAGCAAAGGAACTCCTGATCATGTTTACTTTTACTGCTGAAAAAGCACACAGAAAAAACGGGTTCATCCAAATCACGCTCACCTAGCTAGGCTGATATTCCCCTTAACAAGACTGCTTCAGACAGACGGCACCGCTACTCTGTTTCTACCCACCCCTCCTAAATCAGGTCAATGATTGTCACAAGCCTCCTGCTCACACCGACAGACTGTTCTCTGTGCCATGCAATATTACACATTAACAGTGGAGAATTTTAAAAGGTCATTAGCATATCACGCTCTTGCACGCTGATGTAGAATGGCCTCCCAAAGATGAAGGAATGCAGACCAGGTTTAATCTTCTCAGCCAAAGCCATTATTATGTTAAGATCGCCCTCTGCTGTTAGGTCGAGATCTATCTTTAAGCTACGAAGAGATTTAAAAGGTTTTTTTCCTTTCTGCCTGCAAGAAAATGAAAAGAAGATTCATACAAAAGAACAAAGTAAGTTTCTCGAAGCCTGCTTTCTATTATTATCTGTTCACTTACGTGTCATCCTCTATGTATTTTATTAAAGTTAAAGCTTTTCTATGAAGGACTAGCAGGAACTGAGCAAGGAATGTACTCCTTAGAGACAAGCCAGGTTTCAGATGAAAGATCTGTTAAAAATTATATGAGAAAATTAGCTAGATGTAGAAATTCAAGAATCACTTTAAGAGTGTAGAATAAAAAGAAGCACTGCATACACATATACCACATCCCTGATTACACTACAGTACGTGCATTAGCCGCAGATTCATGGACACACTGAAGATTCATTCTTACTTTGCTTGTTGTTCAGATGCAAGCAATCAATCTGTTTTACAATTCTATTTGGATGAAGTATTACTTTCACTTTAAAAATGGTCTGAAATGAATCTCAGTCTGGTAGGTGTTATTTTTTTTTCAATAGTGTAAACACTGCTGCGCAGTAATAGAAAATATGCTTTGGTTTTATGCGTAACAAGGAGTTTCAGTATTACACCAATACCACAAATTACACAAAAGAGTTCTTTCTTTCATCACTTGTATTACCAGATCAACATTTCAAGTGGTCAGTTCTTAATGCCTTCTGCAGTATGCAGAAAACCATCACAGTATCAATTGGGATAACTACTGTAATACTTTGAAGAAAGAGCTGCCATAACAGCAAAAGTTAAACTAACACCATGATAAATTGTCACCAGATGTCAAAGCACTGTTCTCTAGTTCTTGTTCTTTCTAGAAAAGCAATTACTACCTGATCCAGGAAGGCTTTTACTAATGTGTCTCGATGCAGGATATCTTGAAAAACATTCCTAATGGAAAAAAAAAAAGGCAAAGAAACACATGATAATGCCATGAAAAGACAATAAATGTCCAACAATTGTGCATAGTAATAACGTTACAATTTACAATCTGGCAGGAATGCAAAGTGCATTAAAAATTTTAGTGAATTATAATCCTGGTATGAAATGTAGCACTTTCAGGAGAAATAAAAACCTAAAACCAGAAAAGCCATCGAGCTTTATCAAATACGCTTAGCTCTGGCATAAATGGGCAATAATATTAACATAAATAAACATTTAAAATGGGCAATAATATTAACATAATGCCATCAGAAACATCACAGAATTTCAGCAACCCTTAATGCAACAGAATGACTGAGAGAACTGATAAATTCCGCAAAACAAATTCAATTCCCAGTTGCTTCTTAGAAGCAAAAAATCCTGTACTGTATCAGAAAGTACCCTTTACTATCTCGTCTCAAATCAAGCAACTTTCTGAAGTGTGGGAGCAGAGTACATACAAATCCGGTGTGAAGCTCTCATCTGTGTGGATAATAGGATCTTGAGACATTTCTTCATCTGAATTAGCTCTCCAAAATGCTGTCAGCTCAGACCTCATATACCGTCGTTGGTTGTAGATGTGTTCATGACAAGGGGGCATCTGCTTCACTGTATTGACATCTACATCTATGTGTGTAGTAGGGTATGGAGCATACATTACTTGACGGAAGGGCAGCACAAAGCTTCCTGTTGCATCCTGTTTTTTGGGGGGAAAAAAGGCTGTTTTTAATTTTTTTTTTAAAGCTGTATTGGAACAAAACAGCATGAAAATATCAAGCCAATCTTTTAAATTCCATCTCTTTACACATATCTTGTTTGAGACAAACAGCAGTTGTAGTCATTAAATTATCCTTAACACTGCACAATTCCCTTAATGTAACAGTGAAAGTAACTCTTGAGGCAACCTGCGTATTACACTGCACTGTCTGCTTCCTGAACTCATTAGCATGACAGTATTATATTTATTTGTCAAGTTTAGACTGTTCTTTAGAGCAAGAAGCATTATTTTTCTATTTACCCTCAATAACTGCTGTAGCTCTTTTAAGATACTTGGAAACTGTAGTACTGACATAGGCCAGTTCTGTTCTGGTTCTGTATCCTTTCTGGGACTCTAGTCCCAAGTAGGCAGCAGACTGTTACTCTCATACCTTGAAGAATAGGAATGATTCTAAACAATACACAGCAAAAGAAATCGTTGGGTCATAAAAAAGACTGGCTAGGAATTGTAACATCAAATAGTCACAGGCATAAGCTCTAGCATCAAGGAGAACTCAAGAGATTACAAATTTCTTCAAACATGAATGTGTGTATAAACTTGCATATATATGTGCACACATGCACTCAAAAATGTTCTTAAACCACGGAGAAATAGAACTTTCCTAAATGTACTTACTTTGAGTAAACCTTGAACAAAAAGCCCTGACTCGTACTTGAAAGAAGACTCACTTCTACAGAGTCTGGAACATTTCCGCTCTGACGGGGTAAGGAACAGGCACAGCGTTCTCACAATCTGCATTGCAAAGAACAGTTTTGAAAAAGAAGAAGATTCCAGCAATTAACTGATCTTCACATGCAATTTCTGACTTAAACCTGTTGATTAGAAAAGACAAAACTTGAGTGACATCACAGAACGGCTGCATGTTTAAATAATTAAGATGCAAAAGATGGAAATCCAACTTCCTGCCAAATGAAGAAGAAAACCTAAACTTTTGGCAACTTTTTTTTAGCCAGCTATAAAGAAGAAATAACTTGTCTTCCAATGCTTCTTCCTATTACAAAAACATGAATTACTGTAATTATTCCCTAGCCTTCTAAGCCACTCATTTTATTTACTCCCCATTGGAATGTCAACTATTGTCTCCAATAAGACACATCCAATTTTATAAGCATCCACACTTATTTCCTCATTAATTTCCTCAAACTCTCCATTAAAAGCAACAAAGACATTTAATTATTTCAAGCTCCTACACTGCAACAGCTGCAAGCAATCATCTCCAAACACAAACACATATTTCTCACATAGTCAAACACGTGTTTTGATGCATGCAAGAAGCATTTTTGTTTGTTTGTATTGCTTTAACAAAAGCTAAGGTTACCATTAAGAAAGCAATTATTTTGGAACACAGCACCATAACAGCATGAGCACGTTACAGATAAAGATCCGTCTAAAAGGCATGAAATTTGCTCTGCAGAGATCATGAGGCTCATATTTTTCCACAGCCTTTTTTTCCCAAAGCAGCCAGCTTATCAATATACGCGTTAATAATCATTCAGATCTTGAAGCCTCCTTGTTAGTTATTATGCTATCCTGGCAATGTGCAAAACCTACATCTCTGAAACCAAGTGTGCTAATAACTGTTAGCTGACTTCACATAAGAAAAGAGTTTTCTTTTCTCTGATTCTCTTGTTGCCCACAGTTATTTTTAATTGACCACCAGCATATTTATTCAATTCAATTCAATTCATGCATTTTATTCAATCAGAGGTGTTTGATGCTGCCAAAGGCACATGAAACACTGCATTACTTCTCCATATTTTTATAAAGCATCATGAGCTGCTTAATTTCAAGTCACAAAACTACTAAAGATGCCGAAAATTTTCAGAATCTTTTAACAAGACATGTTTTCCTGCAGCAAAGAACCCTAGATACTGTAAAATACATAGTATACTATTATATATGTATAATATAATGAATATATACTCAACAGGCTCAATGTTCTTAATTTTCATTTGACATCAAAGTAATGTGAATATCAAAAAAGCACAGATTCCAAAAATTATAGAATAGGTTTCTTTCTCAAAGAGAGTTTTGAATCTCACTGAATGAACTAGAACTCAATTACTGTAGTATTACAATTAAAAGCAAAATCAGACAGAAAAGCTCAATATGCAGAAAGATTTCCTATCAAAAAATAAAGCTACCTGGACGTACTGCTTCTCCACATGTACCCTGACAGTAGCATTGTTATGGTCTTCAAGTATGGAACCATTGATACCACATTGCCCAGAGGCACCTGTGGAAATTGAGAGCTTACCAGGCTACATATCTACAAAGAGCTTTACTCTCACACAGTACTGGTGTACTTATTATTTGCAGTGGTGCCTAATACCTGAAGGCTCATTTTTTATAAAATCCCTTTTCTCACTCACGGTGCGGGGCTATCGTGAGTCAAAGAGTTTTATGAAAGGACTCAGCTATGAACAAAGAGAGGGAATTGATTTTGTGAAGTACGTTCTCTAAGAAAATAACAATTTCTTCACAATTTGCCTCTGAATATCCTAATTGAAAACTGACTTCAGTGGTTTTATTAGAGGAGATGGCTATCGTACAGCCTAATTAAATGCAAGACAAAAGCAAGCCTTTCTGAACAAAACACACATGCACTACAGTAACCTGTAAAGAAGCATGCTAAGAAATATTTCAGTGAACTGTAAACAGAAGAGTTATCTCCTCTAGCAACTGATTTCGATTCATATGAAAGTATCAACTTGGAATAATCAAAAAGCTGTGTACAAAAAACGTACCTGAAGAATTTCACATAAGGAAAACATCTTCCCTTGTTTTTTCCTTCACATACTCAGTAAGCTTAAAGTAAACACCAAGAAACTCTTCATATGTGCATTCTCCATATAGAGAAGAATCAGGTCAGGTTATAATTTCAAGTTGGTTCAAATTAAATATTTGATAACAGACTTACAAGGGAGTTGAGAATAATAACAACATAGGAAAAAGTATGTCTACCAGAAAAATGTAATTATTTTCCTATTCCGGAATGACTGCTTCCAAGAGTGATCTTTTTTCCTACATAGATCATAGTGATACCTACAGATTTCACACTTCTCCATTCAGAGGTACAGCTAATGCTGCTTTATTGTTTCTAAACTTGAAATCTCCTGTGCATCATCCCTACTGATAAATTCTACACATATTTCAGCAAGTTTCTTTTATTGCTACTATCCTCAGCTTTTAGGGCTGGTACTCTCTGATTTCTCTGGAAGGTCTTCTGAGTCAAACCTAATCTACTCTGTACCAGTTAAACTGTACAGATATTTACTAATTAGGATTTAAACAGACAGCAGACGAAGAGTCAACACAAACACAAATATGAAGACAAAAATGCTGGAACTGATAGTAATGGTTTAAGATTCCAGTAAACTCGCTTATTTTAATGTGTGCATGACTATGGACACAACAGCTTTGAAGTTCCACGAAGCACAAGCATTTCTTTCATTATGATGAAGCACATTTCTTCCTCAGAACAAGCAAAATTATGCAGATAATTATTTATTATACAATATCTGCTGACTTTGCTAAACTCAGTGAATCAGCTGCTACGTGTTCAGACTGTACATTTGAGGTAGCAAAGTTATTTTAGAGGTTCAGACTCATTTATTCCTCACTTACGTGCAGCATCAATTAAATTACACTCTCCGGTTCTCTTATAGTTGCCAGAATACAATTGACAAGGGAATTTTTAGGCAGAATTATCAACAGTAAGATAACCAAACAAAACATTCTCTCTTCCTACTGTAAGTATGCTTATAGACAAACCTTGTTACAATAATATGCTAACACTGCTGATAATCAGCATTTAAAATTCATTCATTGGAAAGTATATTACCTTATTAACTTTTTCTGCGCTGCTTCCTACAACTACAGAACAACCACAGGTCTGCAGATGTGAACTAATTGCACTGCAAATAAAAATAAATGTGGGTCAATGAATTCAATCAGACTTTTCAAATAAACCCCTTATCATTTTAACAAGAATAATTAAGAGCTGCTAATCTAACTGCAGGCCTATACTACGGCCCTCACACATGCTGAAATCCAAAAGTTCGGCAGCATCTGTATTTTCACTTTGGTGAATAAAAAGATTGCCGGCCAGAACCACCCAACACCACTTACAGAGCTAACAAAAACTGTTACCATTTAGCTGTGTTACAGAATCCAAAATCTGGACACAGTCAGAAAGCTTTCTCCAATATCTGTTAGTAGATGGACCCTACCTTACTAAGGGAGGCTTTGTGAGGTGATTAACCTGTTGTAATAAACACCTCTAATTTATAAGGACTATAACAGCTACATTTGGACTGTGAAATCCTAGAGGTGGACTTTATGCTGGACCTGACACTACTTGTCATACCAATTTTATTTTAAAGGATTAGACTAAGGCCACGTGATTTCCTCCTTAGGGGTAGAAACAGATGTTTGTTTCATTTTGAGGTTACCATAAAAGCATGACTGTATTTTACAGGTTAGTTTTGTTAATATGACAGTCCACTTAGCCTAATCCAATTTTTATTCAGCAGCACTCTTCCAAAGGAAGAGACCAAGTTGCTCTGAAGTGCAAATTCTTCTAGTTACACATTAAAAACAACTGGGGTGTGGGGGGAGTATAATTCAATAAAAAGTGCTCTACAGGCCATACTATCAATTAAACACAATTCTGTTTTTTGTTGGTTTTTTTTTTTGTTGTTGTTTGTTTGTTTGTTTGTTTGTTTGGGGGGGGGGGGGGGGTGGATTTTATAAAGACATAAGCCTATGATTTACACACTCACAGACTTTAGGTATCAAAGAAGACTTGTATTTCATATGGATTCTGCTATCAAGCAAATGACCCTGTGACAATGGCCAGGCAGCCGCAGCTGTTAGCCCAGAGCCATTCTGTTAAGTAGAAAACAACTTTTATAGCATTTTGTAGACTAAAATCTCAAAAAGTCAAACATCTCATACCAGTTCATATGCCAATACAGATTTGTATACACACATGTAAGTTTAATCCATGTCAGTATGGCATAAAACAAAACAGAAATTCATACTTGAGGAGAAAGCCTTCATGACAGCTATCCCCAATGTCATCATCGTTCAGTACTGTGTCACTGATCTGAAAACCAGAGAAATAAAAACAAAGATTAGAAAAAGATGTACATCTCAGAATTAAGTGATTTTTGATTCTGATAGGAGAGGACTGTTTAGGATCTACTTAAGACTGCCAGAAAAGCAGTTTTAAAAAGGACTTCTGACTTTGGCCAAAGCGTTTTGAAAACAACGAAGCAATTTGATTTTTAAACTTTTTTTCACCAATGATACAGATTCCTCTCAGTGTTTTTTTCCTAAAGCCTTGTCCAGAATATTCTAACCTAGCCTATGTGACAAGATTTCTACTTCTTCCACATGAACACTAAACCACACTGAAACAGATACCAACATTAAAAGGTGAATACCTCTCCATTCATTTTGTTTTGAATCAAACAGCCTTTCCACACCACTCTTCCTTAGCAAGCATGTCAATCCACGTAGCCCATAGCTCTGACTATTAAAAATGCTGCAAGTACTATTCACCAAACTGAAACTGTTATGCCATTCCCTAGACCACTTGGGATAACTCGAAGGGTACAGAAATTTATGACATGTTTATTTTTCCTCCAAGGAGAGTACCAAATTGTATTGGCGAAGTCATTTTCTAATTCAGAATGCAAAGAAAACAGGGACTTACATCTATTTCTTCCGGAACACTGTGTGATTTCATAGATGAAAGGAGCTCCATCACAGGAATAACTTCTCCTGTTAGCATTGGAATGATGCTCTGGCCCTGTGCAGTAAATAAAACACTTGAAGTGCATTATAAGAAGTTACTAACAACCTAAACATGCAAAACGTATTTAATTTCCTATTGCGTGAAAGTGTAGTTATCAGTGTCAACTGATCCACAGACTTCTTTGGCATTGCTCATCACCAATTGTGAACTGGAAACATGCATTTCACTTTTTAACATCATGTCTGAAATACACTTCTAAGATGTTTTGCTGGTCAGTTTGTTTGGCCTACACAGGGTGTCTTTGGAATAAGATAATCTGAGCATTCCACACCACATGCAATTACTGTTAAACATTATAGATCCAAAGTCTTACAGTAAAAATGGAAGGAAAACAAAACCAGGCTATTGGTTATTAACATACAAAATCATGTCATCTTTCACAAGAAGCTGAAGCCACAATTCCACATTTAGTTTCAGAAACAAAATATTATACACTAATCCTACTACAGCATTCCAACAGGACATATCGTGTACATCTCTGTCACTTGAAAAGGTAACAACCTTTACATGAGGAGAGCGTATACCTATGGAAGCTACTACCTTTACAAAGCCTCAAGTTCAAGTAAAAGACTTCCCCCTTCTGAAACATAACATTCTTCATAGATTTCCACTTCACCCACAAAGTGATGAAAATGTATATTCCTTCATTTTTTCATAGCTTCCATCATCCTGTCTTCAGAAAGGACGTCTTTTGTGCTTGTCAAGTTACCAGTCAGTCCAAAGTATCTTCTTGGATCTCAAAAATAAAAGGCAGCACCGCCAACTTCTACTGTCACCAGATCCAGTCAAACAGTTTTGTGGTGATGTGCCATATGCATCTACCAGACACTCTTACCTGATCCTCCATTCTCTCCGTGCCTTCCAAGACAATCTTCTGGAAATGCTCTTGCCTCTCCTGAGCAAGAGAAGCAGTTAAAAATATAAATGCTCTGGTACTTGGTTATATACGTATGCACACAACAGTCATATGGCACAATTTCTTGCCTGTGGAGTCATGCTTTCGATGTTAAGTCTTTTTCTTTTACAGAGCTGACATTAGTAGGAAGTGGCTTCATTTTAAACAGATCAATGTTCTCTGCTCCAACCCCCACCAAACCTCTCGCATGCTTGGGCAGGAGCAGCAGATAACGGAGTGTGTGATGACAATGATAAACATTTTCTTCATTAAAGATCAAGAAAATGCCAAATGATCAGAATATGGTGCGGAACTCCATGAATTTCTATGGGTCAGATGGGTCAGGTACAGACTGATGGCTCCTGATACAGCTAAAAAAAAAAAAAAAAGATTTCCAAAACAAGGAAAATTATGTTTGGGGAAGGCAGGAATACCAAGATTTTTTTTCCACATCTTGAGACACTGTCTTCAAAACATTGTCTTATAACCAACTACAGGAGACACAAAGCCTCAAACTACACAAAATACACTGTACAAAAGACAGGACAAAGTTCTCAAAAGAGACTCATCAGCAGCTGAGCCTCAATCACTGGCACAACCAATTCCGCATGCAGAAAGAAAAAAGAAAGTATCTTTTACTATACGCTGAGACATTATTGCCTTTTTAGTGGTTACTTTTAGTCTCCTGGGACTGATCTGCTTGGAGTCGATCAAACTCAGGCAGGAAAAGAAGCCCAACGATTTTCAAACAGGTGAATAGGTGACAAGCTGCAGCAAATTACCCTAAAACAGTTGTAAAACCTGCCTGACCATCTGAAAGAAGCTTCAGTGAAAAGTAATACTGGAACTAAGCAGATTCCTTTGGGGCACGGTGACATTCACTTTGACTTCAGAGTTGGTGAACTATGGCATATTCCTTAATGGCGACACTTTGCTTCAAAAAAGTCAGTCTTCATGGAAAGCAGGCTGAACAAATATTAGCCACTTCTTTCTAGAAATGCAACTGCTATAAGCCTTAGATAAACCTCCAGAACAAAATTCAGACAAATGTAAGTTTTCTCTTCCCATAAAGAAAACTTGCTTGAAGTTGCTTGTCTTTGCCAGAATGAATGCTGTTCCATGTCTTCTCTGGTCTTTGAGGTCAGGTTTCTTCTCCTCTACAGATCTGTCTGGAACTGTTGAGTGTCTCTACAGAGAGCTCATGAGAACTGAAAATCACTGCATCTACTAGAAATGCCAGAGCAGATACACAGCACCTTTCAGATACCTCCATTTTAATAGCCGTATTTGCTGAACTACCTCAAAACAAGGAATCACAGTAATTAGGCCTGTTTTTATTCCATACTGTAATTCTACAATGCATGCTTAATTACATGCCTGCTATTTTCATCTTCTAGTTAGAGCTGCATGTGCAGATATATGCAGGCTTACTTTTCTTCTCTTCAAAATAAAATAAAATAAGACACTAAAGTGCCTTTTTTGGAATATTTTGCTTTCTTTCCTTGACCTAACTGGCTAGCTACTTCATGGTCACCTGAAAAAGAATAACAAACAACAGGACTAATTTCAGAGGAAACCAGTAGAAAACATTTTGTCATTCCCAAAGCCACCTGAGGCCATTCCTAGTGTGGGAATAGATTGATATGGATCAATGTCCAAAAAGGGGGAAGATATGTAGCAGTTAAGAAGGACTGACAGCTCTTATCTGACCACTCACATTACAAGTCAGTGGGGAAGACACTAAATGACAAGAGGAGGAATAGGAGGAATGTAATCGAAAACAGAAGATAGTAATTTTGATATAAGCTAAAGTTCAACAAAACAAAATAGCTTTTAGGAATGAAATATGTGTGTTTCTAGTCTACTGAAAATGAAGGCTTACATCCTATTCTTCCTCTGAAAAATAAACCTCGTTATCAAGGGTAGATGTGAAGGAAGACACTGCCAGCCACCATCAGGCAATACAGCAAGAAGCAATGGAAGTCGTTAGTGTAGCAGAAAGAAAATGGCAATGCAGAATTTAACGTCAGCTTCTTATTTTTGGACTCTAAATTAGTTCAGATTAGAGAACTTAAGAAGGAAGTTTAAAATATGTTTATTAGAGGCCTCAAAACAGAACAGGAACAAACATCAGACAACTAGACATCACCACACACATTACAACTGACATGCAACAAACTGCTCTAAGACAACTTGTACTCCATGAAGACAACAGAGATCCTTTTTTTATTTTAGTTTTTATTATTAGAATGTTATTTATTTTTAACAAAAAATACATAACAATTTTCTCTTAATGACCATTATGCACCCAAAGGTAAGAGCTGCAACTCTTAAAAGAAAGAATATTTTAATTTTTCCTTTTTCAGATTCCAAAAGTAGTAATAATTAATTATTAGTAGTGTTATAAAGTAATAATAATATTAGTTTTGCATAATTTAACACCTGCTGAACTCCTTGATGATACCCTTCTAGAGAAACAGAACTGAATACACATAAATGACATTAATTCCATCAGTTCTCTTCATTAAATTCAAAAATGAAAAAAACTGATTTGAAATAGTAAATTTATAATACTGTCTGGTTTAAACACAAGAGTTAACACAGTTAAAAGCAATTATTTAAATCAAATTCAGAGAGATGACAGATTGCACAAGACAGCCAATTTAACATAGTAGCCTGGTACATGCTTAAATAATACTATGTGGCTATAAAGGACAAATCACCAAGATAAAAATTCTAACCTCAAATTTGGTGCCATACGGATAACATTTTACTTTCAAAATTCTGTATTTATACAGAAGTCAACATTCTCTGAATTTTTGTGCATGGATTGCCACATAACAGGTGTCACAAAACAGCTTTGCTCAAGACAACTAGGACAACTGCTTTTAGTAATGAACAATAAACCTACCTTATGCATCCATATTCTTCCTTTCCTTATAATATGTGTTAATCTATCCACACATACTCTGTGAAGAGGCAGGTAGAAGGAAAGTTCACTTTGTGGAAGTATAATCGATAGTCCGTATGTGCTTCTGTCTCCATTCCAGTTTCCATCAAAGATTAATGACACAATAATTACCCTTTTTTCTGCCAAGACAAAGAACTTCACATCTATTGCACCACTTTCCGCATTCCGAAGTATTTCTCCATTCAGGGTGTGGTTAGCAAGAAAAGTTATTTCACCGTCACTGAGAAGTACCTGATCTGTCTTTGGGGCCCAGATGTGCCGTACTCGGGGGCCAAGGATATTGTCCCAGTAAGCAAAAGTGGCAGCTAATAAAGGTGACTCGCCATTCATAGAGATCTCTGTTTTAGCAACTGCAGGAGATGGTGGTGGACACAAAGCTGACATGGCTGCTTCTTCTCTTGCAAGGCAGCTCACATCACCTAGAATAGAAAGTTTTCTGGGGAAAAAGAAAGGGACAGTGATCATCATTATAACATTTTGGTTTGTTTCCAAATAAAGCTTTAAAAGACAGCTCTGGCTTCTTCACCTAAGATTCTATCATAGGTTTTTTTCAAGAAGGAAGTTTCATATGCGTACCTTCCTTATAACACTGCGTCAAAGAGACCTCAAGTAGCCTTTACTCACAGCACAAGCCTGATGACTAATATTCAATTGCCGTAAGAAACCTGACAGACGGCAAGCACACAAAAAGGGGCCATCCCGGCGGCCGGAGTACAAGGCGAACCCTCAATCAGCAGCAGAACGCAGCGATGGGAAGCGCTTCGAGTCCCTTGGACACAAAGCCCAAGGCACACACCCCAGCAGCTCCCAACGGCACCAAGTCGGGCGCTGCGTGACACCACAGAGTTCCACCTTTCTCGCAAGTCACAGCGACATACGCAGAACGCAAATTAGCACGAGTGGCTCTAAAAGCCAAAACGCGCTCATGGGGGCACGAAGGCCCACGGGCAGAGCCGGGCTCTGCACACAGCTGCCGCCCCGCCTTCCCACAGCCAGGCGCCGCAGAGGCCGGTCCTCCGGCCCCTTCCCAACAGCAACGCGCTGCGGGCCGCACCGCCCGACTGCACATCGATCAGCGTTATTTTTCACTTCCGAAAGGTCCCAAACCCTGTGTGGGCGGGCTCCCAAGTCCGGTCCTCCACCTGCCCTCCCTCCGCGAGCGGGAAGCCACGGCGACCGGCGGCCGCCACCGCCTCACCTGCGCGCCCACCGCCCGGCCTCACCGCGCCGCGCATGCGCCCTGAGTCACCCGCGCAGCTTCAGCCACAGCGCTGCGCATGCGCGGCACCGCCCCCCGCTGTGTAGGCGCCGCGGGACTGAGCGCCAAGATGTGGGCGTGCTGATTTCGGTCGCCCCGCGGTTCTCATTTGGCTGCTGTGTGAGGTACCCCTTCACAGAGGAAGTTTTTAATAAATTAGTATCTTAACAGGCTATGTGTGCAAAACAGTGAACGTGCAATGTTTTGGGCTTCTCTTTTTTTTTTGTAGAGAACAGCAAGTGCCTGAATGTTATTTCCACAGCGATGTTATTTCCACAGCGTATCAGGAAGAAAGTCGCTGCAGATGTTTGGTTTCTAGAGCTATCTGTTCATAGACAGCCTAAGGAGGAGCAAAACACGTTCCTGTCTCTGCTTCTTGAAGATTGTAGAGTCACAGAATGGTCTCGGTTGAAAAGGAGCACAATGATCATGCAGTTCCAAACCCCTACTCTGTGCAGGGTTGCCAGCCAGCAGCCCAGGCTGCCCAGAGCTGCATCCAGCCTGGTCTTGAATGCCTCCAGGGATGGGGCATCCACAGCCTCCTTGGGCAACCTGTTCCAGTGCCTCACCATCCTCTGTGTGAAAAACTTCCCCTAATATCTAACGTAAACCTCCCCTGTCTCAGTTTAAAGCCATTCTCCCTTATCCTATCACTGTCTACCCTTGTAAATAGCCATTCCTTCACCTCTGCTGTCTTTGGAGAGCCCAAGTCAGGCAGGGCGGAGCAGCCTGAAATTGTCATTTCTGAATCGCAACCTCTCAACCACAAAAATCACCCTTCTCAAAAGGCTGGTCATTTTAGGCATGTTAGGTTTACATTTGTGTGAAAGCAGTTTCTTCCCATGCCATGCAAAGAAGAAATGCATATCAACCTCTCCAGCTCATGTAGTTGTTGGCTATAAGCTCTATGGTATGCACTGGTACTGAGTATGGCATGTAGTGGTGCAGGAAGCATGGGCTTCAGGGTAAGTTTTGTCTCTAAAATGTCATGGAGCCTTGCATCAGACGTGTTGTTACTGCATCAGTTTCCCATTAGAAGATGTTTTAAGGATACTAGGTATTAAACCAAGTCATTGTATTTTGTGCCAAGAAACACCAGCACAAAGTAAAAATTCTTTATTTTCTTTTGAGGTAATAGATGTATCTCTAGCTGCCTGAATGCTGCTAATGGCAGTCTGTATGTCTGCCAGATGTAGCTATATTGACCTTTTTTTCTTTTACTTCAGTTTTTAATATTTTATCCAGTCAGAGAGTAACATCCCATTATATTGTGAAATGAGGAGACTAATAATAATTCTGCAAGTGCGTTTTGTGGACACATCAGAGAAGTGGTGACAGGCTGCAGTGTAAGAGCAATTTTTTCCCCAGATATCTGGCTGCAAAACCTAATGCTATGTATCTGTAAATAAGTTAATTAGAATGTGGAAGGCAGAAAACGAAAATGAGTTCAGGTCTGAGCACAAGACAAAAAAACACATTTCAATGCTGTTTATGTTTTCAGTAGGGCATCCTGCATCGTTATCATGACTGATGCCATATTTTAAGATTAGGGAGTGTGTTGGCAAAAAGGGAAGGGGACAAAACAGAAGATAGAAGAATTCAGCTACTCAACCTGGTTAAGATTACGTGAATACAGAGATGGAAGGATCGTAAAGTATTCCTTCGCTATTGTGCCACAATGGAATCCCTGGCATGTTCTCAGGCCAGATCTTGCACTCCCCTATCCCCAGCTTCCTACAGAAGAGGGAAGTGGGGAATTTCCACACTGTTCCTCTTAGTGGTTTAAGGCTATAGTTTCACACCCGTGTTTAAACAGTGAAGTACACTTTGCACTCTCTATCGTGCTTATGGAGTCTGTTTCTTTACTACTTTTAACTTCTTAGAGGAACCAGAGCAGGAGGCCATGCAAATTGGAGTTTGACCTGTGAATACGAATTAATTCCACACAAATCCTCATACTGATTCTACCTATATCTTACTAGTGGGTACTTATTTTGAGTGGTACTTTCATTATCATGTTAATTCTTTACAGTTCACTAAATGCACAGAGTTGGCAGTGTAAAGACCTCTTAATTCACATGACACAAGGCAGCCTGCAATTCTAGAGCTGTTCAGTGTAAGTTAATACTCAGGTGTAACTTCAGGGTCCAAAATTTTGGAGAGGCCAATTATTTTTTTTGCCAAGGGGACTCCTAAGACTTTTTTTTCACCATCCTTTTTAATCACCTGCAAAGGGTGATTTAATTTCTGAAAGAGAAATGTGTGTATTCAATCCCATGAGCAAACGGTGGTGTTATTGACAGAAAACTTATGCAAACAGCTGGTGCCTGGTGGAACAATCAGATGATACACTGGACATCCTGTGTCTGGAAAGATGGCCTGAAGTTTTACACAAGAACAATACAGCTTTGTATGGGATGGGTAGATAAGGTGTGTTTTTAGGCAGTAAAGAAAATGAACCCCTGCGTAGTTGCTGAAACCACATTGCAATTCCTCTTAAGCTAGCACATATTTAAAAACAGGAAACCAAATTTAGTGTCTCTATATTGACTAGAAATAATTAAAATACCAAATTCCAGATGCAATACAGTGAGAGAGCTGTGACCATGTGGGATTTGAGATGTTTCTTGTTGATTCAAGGATGTTGATTCAAGGATGTTTTCCAAATACGGAAAGGCAGTGTCTGTTGCAGTAAGCCCCAGAGTAGCTTTATTATTTGACTTGTCCACTTTCCTCTTTCTGCTTCTATTAACTTTATCTGTACACCAGATCAAGCTCATCTATCTGAAAACAAATTTCTTTTCTTCTGAATAGACAGACAGACAAAACTAATTTTGAAGATGATGTACAGAAGCAAACAAATATTGTTACGTCATATTAAACTTAAGAATGATAAAATCATTGGACATAATCCAAAACGTTTTAAAATAAGAGATGAATACTTCGGGAAATTCTCAAATCTGAAGTAACAGAAAGTTACTTCTATGCATGTCATGAAGAAAAATAGAGGATGAAGTATAACAACACGTCTTATTAGCTTTGCATAAACCACTTCCCCAGGTTCACTTCTCCTCTTGAGTTTTACTTCTGTTTTCAAGGAAAACTGAGATACGTATTGCTGAGAATTTGTGGCAATGTGCTGTTTCTGAAAGCTGTAGATAGCTCCTGTAGTTTTCCATGGCCGGGCTTGCTGCTGGCTATCAAGATAGCTTAAAGGAATTCTGAACGAAGGAAATCTCATCCATTCCTCCATGTAAATGATCCAGTGCTACTCTATTAGGACAGGCAGATTTGGAAAAAAATTTCAAATCCTCTGTATGAGTGCATTGGCTTTATGTCTACTAAGGAGCAGAAGAGTGCAAAGTCTGTCATGGACCTCACACCTGCCCTGAAAGGTTCTCTTTTTGTACTGTCTTTTTGGATGTGGGACATTTCCTAAGCTTTGGCATATAAGTCTTTGAGACATATGATATTACCGTATTTCAAGGACTGTCTCGTTCCAATCGTAACAGAAAATTGTAATTCCTAAAAATAGACTTCACGCTCCTTGTCCCACTTCCACTTGAAAAGCGGTCACTGATTTTAAAGGTATCTGCTCCTCTGCTCGAATCGTTACTATTCTACTCATTCATCCACCCTGCATTCACCTGCTCTGAAAGTAATGCCTCCTATTTATTTCCACGGGAACTACAACAGATACAAAGAGTAATTCTGCTTGATGGGTTTCACTCTCAGTTATAAACCACTGTTTTTTAACACAGTCACCACTATTAGCTGTGCATTTTTACTAGCAATGAACAAGCGCCCCATATGCTGCACTTTTAACAATCTGTACCAGTGGAGGTGACCCACTGTCACCGCTGCTGAAACACAGCACCCACTGCCTCACTGTGCTCACATACACTGTTTGGTCTCTATGAACATTCAGCAAGTGTCAAAGAATGACAGTGGGTGCCATTTCTTCTACGTGGAGAAATTCAGTTCCACAGTTTTGCTTCATATGTGCTTCCATGTCAGTTGCTATTTTGTCAGATTATGTCAGATTGCCCCTCTGCTGCCATCTTCAATACGGCAAAAAAATGGAATGGAATATTGTTGGCAACGTTCATCTTTTACTGCCATACCACCAACATACACGTCTAATGTAATGGGCCAACATCATAAAATAGGAGGCGTTACTTCTGGAGCAGCCCTTATACATATGGGGAGTACTTACTGTTCCTGAAGGAAAAATGCAACATAAAAAATTGTCGTGTTGTCTCAAGATGCACTGATGTACACTCTTGAAAAGAATGGCAGCACCGAACTTAAAATATTGCTTTGGAATGGCTAAGAGACTTGCTGTGGAGTCATGGGAAGCCATCTCCTGACAAAGGCTGGTAATGAGTTCTCTCCTACAGTATCTAAGGTCAATGCTTATAGTTTAGTGCAAGCTTTCCCAGGGTAAAAGGTGGAAGGATTCCATTGTCAAGGGCTGTATCAAGGAAAAGCAGTAAGGTCATACTGCTATCTCTGTCTTTTGGCCCAGTCTGCTGTAGTGTCATCAAAGAGCAGCACTCCAAAAGCAGTTTATGTAAGACTTTATATAAACTGATGGGACAAGGAAGCTTCCTTAGGAGTTCTCCAAGGTCAGGCTCAAACTCCAGAGCAGACAGAAAGTTCCTCCATTTGTTGTCCAGTCTGAACCTAGAAGTTACTAACATCTCAGCTGCCACCAAAGCAGACATCATAAATATTCCTGATGAATTTTCTGCACATCCAGTAGTTAGTTTGACTGATTCATTGACTCTCATACATCTGATCATTAATGTGTTAATGTGTAATAAATTATTTGCTTTTCGCTTGCCACCTTGACTAAACCTATCTATTATTAGTAGTGCCACTATTTATGTAAGTAGTGTACAAAGCCAGTGAGATACCTTTGGTA